AAGAAGTTTGTAAAAAAATATATTACTAATATAATTATAACGTAATTATATATCGTTATACGTCACGATCACGTTCACTTTATTTACAGCAAAATACATTAAAGAGAGATAGACATAATCGCCGATCGGTTCCGTCAATAAACGAATCTTTACTGTTTGATTCGGTTTGAAGGAATTTTTAACCTTATCAGTTGGTAGCGAATTACTGGGTTGTCAGGTTGACGTTTGATTTATCGAATAGCTTTTATTTTTGCCTATAAACTTTTGCTAATTTTCCCATATCTCAATCGTATTTGTTAGCGTTGAGTCTTTGAGAGTCTCCAAAAGTGATCAAAGTATTCAAAGTTATTTTACTATTAGCGATTATTATTGATCTAAAACTAGATCTAGATTTTCATGACAACTTGGCAACAGGGCCAGTTTGACGGTTGATGACGTGCAACGGTTTTAGTTTTAGGTTAAGTATATGAATACATTTTCTCAGGTTTTTAGCCCGCTTTGTGCGCCTCTATTATGTAAAATGCCCTAAACTAGGCCGCTATCATCAACATAACATCCCTAAGTAGCGTAAAAGTGATCAGTTCAGAAGCGGTATTTACGAGCACAAAACCTCGTAGTCGGGGAAAGACAGTTCCTGACCGCCATAAGGGATGTAAACCACCCCGTGGCTGGGTTGCACCTTACCGATGGTAAGGGCCCCATCGTGGACAACCCTGCCCACATAGAGAGTTTCGCCGTCTTCTGATTGGCCCGCAGGAACGGCGCTGGGTGGTAGGCTGCCGCCGGAGGAAGCCTGCCATTGGCCAGGAAAATCGCACAAAACCTGAAACATTAGAGGGAATGAGAAATTGTCGAGGATTTTTTTAATGGACTTACCTCGTACTCCTGAATGGGGTTCTCGGCGCCGCCCCAAGCCACATAAGCCTGCCCATGGCTGGGGATTAACTTTCCTGGAATGAGGCCTCCGTTGAAGTTCGCCCTGATCACATAAATCGACTCGCCGTTGTCTTCTCCGCCTGCAAATGCACTTGGAGGCACTTGGCCCGAGCTGGCAGCCACCCAACATTGCCCGCCTGCCACTCCAGCAGATCTCGCTCCTCTTGAGCCTGGAAAAATCGGTAAAAATCCAGCTCTGCTTCGGAGGAAACACGCTTACTTTCTGGTGGTTGGATCACCCAGTTTCCGCTGGCGCCCCATCCAGTGCACACGCCAATGTACTCAATGCGCACCCTTTCTGGATCAGCCCATGAGAGGAATGGGGCTGGATCGCCTTCTCGGCCTACCGTGATGGTTCCGTCATCCCATCTGATCCAGAAGCCGCGAAATTCGCCGTCGCTTAGAATGTTGGGTGTTGGCGCTTCAGCCACCTCTGGTTTCGTTCGGTTTTTGCGGATAATCTGGAAATGTCAGAAAACGTAAAAGTGTGCACCCTAAATGAAGGGTTTTTCGCTGTCCGATAATTTATAACTTTGAAAGGGATTTTTCTTGGCGTAGCGGACAAATAATTTTTGGAATAAGAAAAATTTACTGCTTTCGGCGCCCTATTTGAACCTGCCGGGTTCAAATCGCGCCGAAAGCAGTAAATTTTTCTTATTCCAAAAATKATTTGTCCGCTACGCCAAGAAAAATCCCTTTCAGTTATTCCTCAATGGGAACGGGTCTCTAGATGTGAACCAACAACGAAGAGCGGTTTACAAACCCCGCGAAAATGTATGTTTTATAAAAAGCGACTATAAAACGGTCGATTCTTACATTCACAATTAGAACCGGTTTAGGTTTGTCAGCGCAATTAATGACCAAAGAACAGGTTCACATGACTACTTCATCTCCATCTATCTACTTCTTTGTCTAACTGATGGTTTTCTTTAAAAAATGCACTATTAAAGACTCATTAGCTGGTAAAGTGCCACTTATCGACCCCCCCAAACCTGTTTGGGGAATGTTTTCTGTACCAAACTTACCGATTTCGAATTGCCCCATCCTCCAAGGAACACTTCATACATGGGGTCCACTTCAGCTGCTTCATTGCTCAGCGCAATGTGGGCATCATGCGGCGCTTTGACTCTAAACTGCACCAGACCAGAGTCGTTGGGGAAGAAGCAATACTCAAGTTTGTCTTCGGTGGCAAGCTCTGAGAAAAAAGAGGTTTCTAAACTTTTTGGGTCGTTTTATTGCTTGATGGTTCGGGGATGAATAGAGGATGATCACACTCTCTAGAATATACAGAGTTTTTGGGCATTTGAAGCCAGCTTTCGTTGGCTTCGAGGTGATTTTTTCGGTCTTTAGAGTTTTTTAGCGTCCGAAAATTCTAAATAAAACTGATTTTTCGCGGCTTTAGCGGACAATCATTTTTGGAATAAGAAAAATTTAAAAATAAATTAAGTTCGCCGTGAATTTTAGCAAACTGCTCAAAGATTCCGAGTACCTGAAAGGGATTTTTCCCGGCTTTAGCGGACAAATAATTTTTGGAATTAGAAAAATTTACTGCTTTCGGCAGGACTTGAACTTCAACTCGGAATCTTTGAGCAGTTTGCTAAAATTCACCGCGGACTCTAAAATTTCAAATTTTAATAATTTTTAATTTTATTTAATGATAAATTGTCGCCAAAAAGGTTCAAATAGTTACATGAAAGTGCGCTTTCACAATGAATAATTTGTCTTCGTGCAAAGAAGAGCGGTTGATTTAATTTAGGGGCAACAAAAAATTGTTCCAGCCATTTTCGCAATATAATCCGCGATACTTATACCAAATACTTGGTTGGGCTGATTATGATTAACATAATCGGTTTTATCGCCAATTTTTTGCCTTGTATTTTACCCACATTTCATCAGTTTCTTGCTGGCATTCTGTGCTCGTGTATGTTTGGCTTTACATATAGGCATCTACTTATTTATAGCTTGACTGAAAAAGTTCGTGCCAACAGAAAAAATCGGTTGTTTCTCTAAGGATTTGTCTTTCGATGATCGTGCGAGCATGCAAAAGCTCGCAAGATTCCCAACGTTTAAAAATAGGTCAGCCAACTAGCCAGGCTAAGTGCAATCGATAAATGCGGAAATGTTTGCTTAGTAAATTTCTTTTTCCGCACAAAAACGACTTTGTGTATCCACTAAATTTGATGGCTTTACCAAAAACAGGGTCATTTTGGAAGGTTTATGCCAACACGCACACAACATTCAGCTAGACTATTAGGGTTTATTTTATTTTCTCCAATCGGCTTTTTCATGTTGCATTATCCTAATTTGTATTTTCTCAACTAGTCTCCACCTGTATTGGATTGGTTAATGAAGATGTATTTTCGCCTGGAAAGTTGTTCAACCAACACGCGATATTTCCATGATTTTGAAGCGTTTTCGCGGACTAAACAATGTGGAAATAAAGCAGGGGTGCAATCTAATTCACATCAAGCCGGCAAAGGGCCACACGAAATCTGATAGGAAATTGTCCTGGGTTGGTTTGTGCGAAATATTTTTTTAACTTGCTCCTGCACGATGCGATAACTTGTTCTACAAAGAAACCGGGTTTTTATTGCTGCCACGCAAACTGAAGCAGTGAAATTTCCTAGTGGCAGGAAATTAAAAGTACATATTTATTTTGCTTTGCTGCAGTTAAATTAATAAAACTGTTTTGCTGCGGGTTTCAGTCGCGTTTGTTTAAAAAAATGTGCATAAACAGCCGACATTGGAATGTTCCCAGAGGCGCACTCAACAGCCCAGATGGCATTTTCAAAGAATTTAATTCTTTTCAAGTGTCTGATGATACAGTTTCGGTTATAGGATGGACATTGGACTTTATTGGAATTTTTATCGCAAAAGTTAGTCGCCCCTGCTGCCATGATCCTACTCTTAATTAACAATTTATTAGCTGAATACCATTACTCAATGACTGCACTACTAAAAATAGCAAATTATGTGCAATAAACAAGTCGTTATAGTCATCAACCGTCCATAGAAGGTTGCTCATTCACTGTTTTGTAACGACTTTGATTGTTTCACTTCAGCTCAGGATTTATTCGGCATAATTTTGGGAAAGTAAAAATGCCAGTCGCGTTCCAAGCAGTTGCAGAAGATAACGGGAAATCGAACGATTTGCACCTAATCAACGATTCAACGCGAAGCCGGATGGCTGTTTGGAATTAAAAATAACCTGCAACCGAGCGTGAAAGTTACAAGATGAAATTATGAAACAGTGCAGGAATGCGAACCGTCCGCCGCCGGCCAGTTCAAAGATCAATGTTTTTTCAATTCTCTTTAAAACAACGACCGAAACGCAATGAAAACCCCGACAAAATCAACGCAGTTGCAAACCTTTCAACTTTTTCCTATGGAAAACTTACCGATGTTACTCATTTTGAACACTGTACGATATACGAAAATACTCGAAACAACACAGGCGATCCTCGATCAAAAACTGAACACGTAGCGACTCAGCGGGCCCCGTTTATAAAATTAACGTTTGCGCTCTTCGAGTTGGTTCGATGGGTCCACCAAATGGGGGGACCCAAGGGGAGCCTTGCATTGTCACTTCTAATTCTGTGCGATGACCAGGGGAGTCATTGAAAAGCTATTGGAAGTGATTACGTTTTCTGACGAAAGATTTGCTTCTCAATGGGCTGAGGAATTCGCGTGTACAAGAGGTGGAAGTTGAGACTGAGAATCGCACCACTTCGTAGATGATTCATCTTTGATTAGTCAATTGCTGTTGGATCTTGCCGGTTTTTTGAAGAAAAGTTTTGAGTCTTCACAGCCATCAACACCCGTTAAATTGGGGAAATCGATAGCTTTGAAGGTGTTTCAGATGGGTGGCAACTTGGGCGAAATTCTGGGGGGTTTTTCCAAAATAAAACTTAAAGTCCACTAGGAAGAAATCGATTTTAAGACCATTGACTAAAAAGCGCCAAAATATTAGATGACAAATTCGAATTCCCCAGCAATTCCTCTTAACCATCTGGATGAATCATCGCAATTTACTCACTATTTTATAAATAATCCCAGTTGCAAGGTTTACGCGTGTGCCACTCTGTATATGTACAGTTGGAAAAGCGTCTCATCAACAGTATTAACACTGATCGTCATCAAACTACAGAAACAGTGAAGAAACAGCTTTGAAGGAGGTCACAACTCACACACAACAAATAACGTATTTACGCTAATTGTTAACTTGTGATTTGCGTTGCGTAAACACCTTAACCATGTGGGCAAACCGATTTACTCATACCACTCAATATGGTAATTAATGGGACTAATTTGTCTTCCATTAGTGCTTGTTATCAGCAAGGGTTTCAATCCCAAACTATTGTTGTTGGTAAAACACTCAACATAAGGAAAATGTTTCAGTGTGAAAGCGCATCAAAATTGTTTTGTTTCTAAGTCAAGTTTCTTGTATCATCTGGCGGATTTTTGACTTCCTCCTTGCACCAAGTTACGAATTTTTAATACTCGGCTTGTACCAAGAGATTTTCCACCTTTTAAATTCAATTGCACACCAATTCTTCTACACTCTAGTCTCTTCTTTTGATTTTGATGAAATTTTGTGGAATTGTTAACTCAAGTTTCCCAAGAATCACGGAGATTTCGAGGTTCTTCCTTGGCTTAGTTTGGAAGTCACGATTTTTTTATTCTCTTGTAGCATCAGATTTTCCACTCTTAATTTATCTCAATTTATTAACATACTCTTTTTTAGGTTCTTTTGATAACGATAGCAGAAAATAGCTATCGAAACATCAAGGTAATTTTTTAAATTAATTTCTCTACTAATTGGAATTTTCTCTTACAGCTTGAGCCTAAGTGTGTCGCAGGATACCCTCTAGGTGATGGTTCTTGATTACTTTTTGATAAATAATTCGTTTGCGATTATTGCGAAATAGGAGCACTAACTATTTATCAATCTCTAATAGAAGACGTGAGGAAATTCTGTCTTTTTTAAAGACAAAAATCCCAACAAGAAGTTTGTAAAAAAATGAATCCGCCTCAACAATATAGAACTTATCTACAAATGTTCTTATTAATGCGCTTACCTTTGACACTGTTGCTCTTACGTTATTTAACATATTTTTTCATGAACAGATTATGTAATGGGGGGTAATGATGGGCCTGTAATTTGTGTTTCAATCCAAAACTCTTCAATGTTGCAAAAATTCTATTAAAAAATTGCCTATTCACACTTTGCCAGTAAACTTATAATATTTCTTATAATGGTCGTACATAATTTTAAACATTTCCGTGGACGCGTTCGATAGCACCCGCATCAGGTAGGAAATGGCGTGATGATCGCACAGGGATATCAAGCTGTATACGCAGTTGTTCAAATGAAGCTAAAACAATTAAAGAAAAATCATCAGCTCCGATTATAAAACAGCCTTTGAACAGCCCACCTTCACCTCGGGATACAGATTAATGCGCTCGTATTGCTCGAGAATGTCTGCAATCAAAAACACAGCGGTTCGTCCCATGTCCCGTTTGCAAGCCACCAGACTTTTGGTGAGTTTCTCAAATCGATGCACACAGTCTGAGGCGGTTTTCACCTCGATTTTATCCGCGCTACTCTTATCTGAGTTGCTTCTGTTTGTAATGGCTTTCAACAGCCCTCTGTACTGCTGCAGGTATACGGGAAGTCGGGCCATTACTATGGCATTTCTGGCTTTCAAAAACATCTCCAGAACGGAAATGGATAAGTTGAAGGCGGCCTCGAAGTCCTTTACGCAGTTTTTCATTAGAATCATCGGTGCCATCAGTAACATATCCACTAAAGGCGGCGACAAAATGAACTGAAATCAACAAAGCCCTGTTTTAAAGCTGTATGCAAAATGTCCCTAAACCTACATGTTGGGTCTGTAAAACACGCTGCAGCAAATTAATAATGCTTTCTAAAGGCGCCTGAGTCGCAGAGCTGTTTAGCAACGGCAAAAGCCGGGAAATCAGCCTCTCCAGTGCTCTTTGATAAATGTTCATTTTAATAGCGTTTACATCGCAAGCCAGTATAGATTCCCATGTCTTCAGGTGTTGAACCAACTGCGTGCTGCTCTGGCTTTTAACCGCCTCTTCCTAAAATAGTTTGATCGATAACTCAAAAAAATCCTTATGAATATCCCAGAAACTTACAGTTGAATCCCCCAAGTCCTGCATTATCACCTGGAATTCCTGAATTGGTATCTGGCTAACAACCAAGCTGACCAAATGCGCAAAGTTCGGGTCCATATTAATCCGCTTACAGCTGTTCCATATTTTCAAAACCATGTCGTCTTTTACACAGTCGAGTTGTGTCCGGTTTTGCAACAGCAAAATGAAAAGCATCAGACATCCATACTTGTTCTCTTCGCATATGTTTGCCAGTGCATATTCGATGTATGATTCCAATTTTTCGACTAGCCTAATTAGAGTTTCCGACTCTTTTTCCGCTGAAAAGTAGTGTTTCAGACAAATGGCGTACACTTCCACCAGATAATCAGACTGGCAGACCAACTTTGATAGTTTTTTCAGGATTTTTTCTTTGTATCTGTTTATCTCATCCTTTAATGCCGCGTCGAGTTTCGACTTTTTCACCTAAAACATCCCCCATATAAAACTATGATTATGGTAGTTTCAAATGTTACCACACCTTATTGATAGCCTGCAACACCACTAAACAAGCGCTCAAATGCTTGGGCTTTTCCAATTTTTTTGCTATTGAAGATATTAAGGGTTCAGCACTTGATATCGAGCTCTCGTCTTTAAAAGCGTTGTCGATTACTAAAGAGAACAACAGGCAATATCTGGCGAAATTGCTTAGAACTTGTGCGCCCAGAGTGTGAAGATTGAACAGTTCGCTTAGAGGCCACTTGTAAGCCTGTACGATTCCTAGAAAGAAATTTGAAATTTAGAATACGTGGATACGGAAAACTAGCACTTGCGATTCGAATGAAGCATACCAATAATAAGGTCCTCAAGCTCGGTTTTTACAGTATCCGAACAGGCATCGATGTCCCTGTTCAAAGCCATTAAAAACAGCAGCATACATTTTTGTATGTGACTTTCGCTGTAAATTAAAGGCAACTTCTTCAGAATGCCCAAATTAATCCTAAGCTGGGTTTCCTTGCTTTTGAGAGCAGACAAACAAGTGTGTTCTGGAGTTTCAAAAATACTTTTCGCCCTTTCTACAATGCCTGTCATATCGAAAGTTTTGCTGCTGGTGAAAAACGCATCGTTTCCAAAAAGAGAAAACACCATCGAGCTGAAAAAGCGCCGGTTATTAGAGGAATTATAATGTTGAAAAAAATTCAGGCCCCACCTCATAGGCTTGCCCCCTTCGAGGTCCATTTTTCGCTTCCTAGTAAAAAGCTTGTTGATTTTCGACAATGCAACATACGCCATAGCATTACATAAATTAATGGAGTCTTTCACGTGGTTTTCCGCAAATAGCTTCTGATTTTCCATTAGATGCTCTGCCAAAAGAGTTAAAGAAACGGTGTCCATCTTGGGGAAAATTGCATTGACTACGAATTTGTCCTTTACGAGTTCTTCCCATGTGTCGTCCAGATGGGCTGTTATGATCGTTGCGATGTTGTTGAGAACGTCTTCGCTTGGCTTCTTCTCCAAGACTACCATGGCCTTGGCTTTTTGAATGTAGAGCTTTTGCTACGATAAAAACTGTTAATCACTTGATAGCTGCAGATTGACCGGGAGTTACCAATAGTGTTTTGCAGGGGTATTTTCCGAAATTAGATATTCTTTGCTCAATCGTCTGCCATTCTTTCACGTCCATGTATGACTGTAAATACGTTAAATCTGTTGCTGAATGAGTTCTGTCCGGTTGAGTAGGAACTTGAACCTCATTGTTAATGGAATAATAGGCGAGGGTAGCGTAGATTTCCGCCCATACGTAGGCTAAACTAAGAAATGTCCTCATTGTAACCTGATTCTGAAACGATTATTAATACAGTCTAGATATTCGAAATCGAACTTGAATCCTTACATGTTCCCTTTGGAGGAGTGAGGCTCCAAAGCATTTTAAAATGGACCTCAGTTCGTCTAAACCGCTCACAAATTTAGTGACGACGTTTTGAGGAATTGCGTGATCTGCTATACGGATGCTCTGCAGTAGGCAGGTGGTTAGAGAGCCTAATAACTCCAAGAAGACAAAGCCATTTGAGTCTGAAAATGCCAACACATCTTCATTATCAAGTTTCGAAAGTTGCTTGCTTTTTGACCTTTATCGTCAAAATCTCCACGTGAAAATTCTTCAACGGTGTTCTTCAAATGGTGCAGCATCGTCTTGAACACATTGATGACTTGCCAACTGGCTAATTGAATCAGGCAGCTCGTAAAATAGGCCAGAATGTTTTCAGTGAAAACGTCCCCAACAGGCAAAATTTCTCGGGGCGAAGTCGCTACATCGCGTTCTCCGTTAAACTCAAATACCTGCGTTACGTCCGGGGCAGCGTTGGAAATAAAAGCCCATTTTAGGGCCGGAATTAGTTTGGAAACTAAGTTTTCCACTCTGTGCAACTTTGCAAACACCTCAAATATTGCAATAACGACTTTTTCATAAAGCGCCTCACACTTGTGGTGGTTTCTCAGCATAACGAAGACCGCAAGGCTGCTGATCAGCGGCTCAATCAACAGCGGATTGATTGAAATGCATTTTATGATTATTTCAAAGACCGTAGAATTCAAGATGTTTAGGGCCATAAGCGATTTCAACATTTTTCTTAGAAACTCCGTTTGGGACAGCTTGGCCACCACACTATCGTCAAAATTCCTCGCACTCAGTGCATCTAAAAGTTCAAGCAAAACTTGCAATGATTTGCTGAGCTGTATGGAAAGTGTCCGCTTAAAAGGTGTCTTAATTCGAAAGTCCGCAGATACATCAAACTTCAGTAAATGTACCAACAAAATGAAGCACTTGAAGGAGTATTGTGAGTCTTTGCTAGTGGAACAGAACGCGGAAAAAAACAGCTTAAAACTGGTTGCGGTAGGAGAGTCATTTGCTCTAAACCCCGACACTAAGTGTTTAAATACAGATTTAGGCAGGGGCGTTAGGTTGTGCTCTGTTCCATTTGCTGTGTTTTCATCGTCGAAAATTCGGTCGAAAAACGACTGGAACTCGTTAAAATGTCCATACAGCAAGCACTGAAAATAAATTCGATATTGCTGCGTCAGTGACGGTAATCACAAACTTACCCTTTCAATGATTTTCACAGTCTCAAGGAAAACGTGTGAGTTGCCGTGGAATTGCAACACTTTGCCCACAAAAGCATCATACAACGTGGTTAAAAATTGCTTGGAAAACCCGTCTATATCAACTAAGTGCTTGCAGAATAAAAACGGCGTTTCAAAGAACTCTAGAAAGCTGGATTCGGTATTGAGGTTTTCTAGAGAACAAGCCAGCAGTCGACAGTACATCTCTAAGTTGTACTTGAAATATTGCTGGAAAACTTTTTTGCTGCACAAAAGTTGCACAGATTTCAGGATTTTCTCTTTGTGATCGACATTCTGTATCGATATTTGTGAGACATTTTTATCTAGAAGGGCGTTTTGAAAAACCTAAAAAATATATTAATTTAAAAAAACGGCGAAATGTCTATACGAAAATTTACTGCGTTCCCCAGACGAGTTTTATTGCCTTTTTAGCACAGTAAACGGTAGTAGGATTTTGTATACACTTCAGATAAATAAACAATTGTAATCTGTAAATATACCAAACACGTGGTTTTCCACTTTAAAATTCATCTTAAACAAACGCTTGGTATATTTAGCTGTTCCCACATTTTTGTGGGGTAAAAACGGTTTTTTCGGTTCAAAATTAAGATTGTGTTTGTGCGTTTTCTATAGACTCGACATTAAGTGCTGCGCTAGAAGCACTGAAAATCTTGCCTAGAGGTTTACTGTATGATTTTAATTACCTGCATAATGCTAAACATATCGTCATTCGTAATACAGTTTTGCGTAAGATCCATAAATTCGCCTGATGCAAGCCAGGTGATGATATGGTCCCAAAGAGCCCCATTTTCGATAGAATGTTCTTTGGAGGAAACACTGACGATCCACTTTAAAAGTAAAGCCTCTTTATGCTGAACGACAAACTCTGGCGATTTAAGAGCATTTTCAGCTATTCTGAGCCGTTTTCCAAGGGGCTCTTCGTCGTTATTTAGGGCTTGTAGCAGGGCTAAAATATGTATAGGTTAGGTTTTTAACCGGGCCGAATTGAGCAACTAGGGCTATGACAACGGGTTAATACCGCAAATTCATATTACCTTGCGAAAGAGCCATCACTGGAACGTTTTCTAGCTTCTTGTTTAAGAAAGAATTAAAAAGCAAGTTAACCACGTTTTTCAAACAGATAAACAACCTGCAAGGTGTATTTAAATCTACTGAAGAGCAGGGTTGCCAGGTTCGAAAATCGCGTTTCGGTAGATAAGCTCGGCACTTTTCGGTAGAAATCGGTAGACTCTTTTTAAAAACTTAGTTTTATATTCAATTTTTAAACTTACAGAAATACTAAAATAAACATGAGTTAATAGGTATATTTATAATATTTTTCAAACATTACAACACATTGTTAACAAAAATCAAATAAACACCCTGTTTGTCGGCCGAAAAATAAGCTCTTAAAGTATCGCCGCCAAGCCGACTAATGGCATGGTGCATGGTTTACGATATATTATCATCTTTATGATCTATAGATCATAAAATAAAAAAAATATATTTATATGATCTATAGATCATAAAACTTCATTCAAAACATTCATTTTATGTTTGAAAAAGAACTCTAAAATAGGTGTGTTAAAATAAAAGGTCTGCTATTACCAACGTACTTTGATCACGAAGGGAAATATGTTACATTATTTTAAGTAATTTACGGAATTTTTTTTACTTTTATTTGTTACTTTTCGGTAGAAATCTGCATGGTATCGGTAGATCTGGCATCTCTGCCACGACTACTCACTATTGAGAGAAACAGAGAACGAAACTGGTTGCCTTTTTCTAAATTGCACAACTGGATCTAACCCTAGACCACAGAACATACCCCCTTTTTGGGGGATATTTTGTGCCCTAGATTTTTGATCCTAACCTAACTCTGTCAGGTTTATCGTCGTTATATTGTTGTCAGTCGTATTTTGCTTGGATATTTTGGCGTCAGTTAATGGACGAGTCAGAGGATCAGAATTGGTCTGTAGATTGCTCGGACGATGAGCTGAAGAACTGCTCAGATCCTTGGGAACCAAAACCCGAGGAAATCGATCTAATGTACAGTTTACTGAATAAGGGCGAACTGCCCGAACTGAAGTGGAAGTGTCCTGGATACAGAACTCCTTCGCCAGAGCGAAGAGAGGCTCCAAAAGAAGAAAATGAGTCGAAAAAGTATGTAACTTCATTCGTTACCTGGTGTCGATGAAACTTAATGTTTCACTTCTTTCGATCAAAAGAACAACACAGTCTTTACCAGCAAGCACTTGCCAAATCTGTTTTTACAAGAACCTTGTCTTTCAGACAGGATGAACAAGATGATTTTGATTTCATGGATGAAATGACGTCGCCCAAGTTGAAAATTCGAAGCAAAGGAGCGGACACATTAAAAGGCAGTGCTAAAAAGAAAACGACTTCGTTGGATGGCGTTATAAATAACATGAGAAGGCACCACTTGCTGCCCTCGTCAACGAAGTAACTCCTGTGGGAAAACAGGGCAATCATTACAAAGACACTCAAATGCTTTTCAACGAGGTTTTATTAAAGTCAAGACACTTCTTCTCCTAAAAATAGCTGTAAAAGAGTGACTTAAATATGTTTAATCTAAACAGTTTATAACTCTCATAAGCGTGCTGATAATACTTGTCTAAAAGTATGTACTTCTCGAATGAATATACGGAATACTAGAGCAACCGTGAGTTAGTTGTGTTGAACCACAGGTATGAAAATAGTTAAACAATCAGACTACATGAACTAATCCTTTTGAACCTTTTTGGCATCAAAATAATTTAGTTAGAAATGATAAAATGCCACAGTATCAGAGCCTATCTTTGCGGCGGTGGTTTTGGCTTAGGCATTTTCCCTAAAAGTCCTTGGATCTCCTTTTTCTCGTCGTAGGTTTTCCACAGTTCGAACAAATTCATAATATTCTTTCCGATCTCCTGAATCTTCTCCAGGTCGACGTTCAGTTCGGCGAACCACGTTTTTTGGTCCTTTTGCAATATAACACAAGCGATTCCTAGACAACCTGGGAAAGGAGAGTGAGTTAGGAGGGCGAACTGGTCAGAGTAAAATAAACCCACCTATGGCTATTTGGTATGGCGGGTATAAAAGACACACATCGGTTCGAAGAGAGTCGTTGACTATTCGCCAAGCGAGAGTTAGGAGTTGTTCTTCATGCCCAATGTCTTGGACTAGTTGGAGCAACGGCCTATACGGCTGATAAACTATGAGACAACAATCCAAGTTTTCGAGCAGATAAAATTCACACTCGAGAATGTGATTTGTTCTGTAAGGGAACTCCTGGCTGTACGCGTACCCAAACTTGTTTTTAACTATAAACACTGCGGCTTAGACACTCTCTGATTGAGTTTCGATTCTGGAATACTTACTGACTGTTTGGCACGTGCTGATAAGCCTAGTGTTAGAGATAACGCCAAATTCCTCCACTTTAGAAGCCAGGAAAATGCACGTGGGGGCCAGGAGAAGCGGGTCGATACACTTCAAGGAATTTCGGGCATAAAATCGCTTGAAGTATACAGTCGCCGTCGCTATAACTTGCTGCCGCAGCTTCAACTGTTCACCCAAAGTTTGAATAACTAAAAATGAGCAGTTAGTGGCAAAACCAGTCACATTTGAAACACCCTCGTACCACTTGAAAAGAAAATAAATATTTTTTGGTACTCTTCATCTGTTAATATAGCCAGATCATGCTGTCTTTCGCGAACCAAGTCTTGCTTGTCTAGAATCCATTGTTGACTGAAATTACCAACATTTAACTAGTACATGTTTCGTTGCATAAATACAGCTAGAGCGCTTAAACTCCAGCACGAATTTTTTAGATAATTGTCCCTTACTTATGTGAGCTTTGCCAAAAGTTGCCAGCCATTTGTATGTAAATGTTGATCTACTTAACGATCCTCGCTAGCTTAAGTGAACCGCCCGCACTGGTAAATTTCAATTTGATGGACACGCGCTAATTTTATGCGACTAGGAAAATCAACGGGCATATACTTAATTGATTATCGCTGGTTAAGAGATATTTAAATGGCAAAATCAAAACAAACTCCGGCAACGAAAACATAACCTCATGGTGTCACGGCTGTCACATTTAGTCTAAAGGGGCGGACAGGCGGATTTTTAATTCCTGTCAGCGGGTTGTCCGAGTGGGACAAGGCAATGAATAAAGGCATTGTTAGAGAGAGATGACGATCTTGGTTGGTCTGATTGTTTTCCTAGGCCACGATTTTCTATTTCTATTTGAATTCTACAAGTTTTACTTTCAACATCTATACATTACCTGGAAACATTATGTGAAACTTGCATGTTGTTGACATTTTGAGAAAATTTTCATTTTTTCAAAAAATTGACCTCCACCCTTGGAAAAATTTCGGCCAAAAATCAAAATTTCACATGCGTGTTTTTTGAGCTCAATCGATTCCTTTCGACGTAAGAAGGTCACAAATATGCATTTATAAAGTGTTTGGATCAAAAATGAGGAAAAATCGTCTGCTAAAGATCGTGAACGCTCAAAAAACGCTTAAAATGTACCGAAAATGTCTATTATTTCGGATCTGAAACTTCTAGCATGTTTTTCAATGAGTTCGATGCATTCCTCGTGTCCGTGAGCTGAAACTGATGTAAAATTTAGGACATTTTGAGACAATTTTCATTTTTTCAAAAAATTGTCAGCAGCTTCTGAACCAATCACAGATTCTCGTGAGACAAATAGGCTTCACAACAAGACATGTTACTAGTGTGGCGCGGTGTCGCTGTATCAATACAGCAAGTGTCGGTGTCGCTGTGTGAACACCTGAAAACCCACTGTGTTACCCAGGCCTACTAGGACTAACCATTTTTCCGACTCAGCCAGTTTCTTTTTAAGTTTCCCAATAACTTGGGCATTTGAAATGAAAACAGCACAAATTAAAAGCCAGCTTATTAAATAAAACAGTTTTCATTTATTTTAGAATTAGTTTATCCATATGTGATATAACACTGATCAAGGTGATTTCACGTTGGCCCACACCCTAAAACTATGACTTAACGTAATTTCAAATTAAGATCCGAAATCATTTTCAATACATCTATTCTTCAGGTCCTGTTCGTCTGAATCGTTGCAAGCGATTCGTCATTAAATCCAGTTTTCCAATTGAATTTTTGCTGAATTTATGGTGGTTTTCGTAACGAAAATTTGAAAAATCTGGATTTTATTCGATATCGCCGTCTCAGCGTTGGTCTTTGAATATATTCGCAAACATGCAGTTAAATTCGAAAAAATATCAGTGGTCCTCGGTGAAATACACATTTTTTAAAGGCGAAACCCATAGGTAGGAGCTACTGTATATAAAGATTCTTATTTACAGTTGAAATATAATATATTTGTTAAATTTCATTTACTTAACGGCAACTGGCCGAAGACAGTTGATGAACTGGACTGTTGAAGACCCCGCTAAACAACCATCTTCTTGGGCTGCTTAGTTGAATTTCAATGGCTTCAAGCAAGCCACCAACAATATTGTTGCTATTGAATTAGTCGAGAGTTGTCTGAGGGTTTTTCAGTGAAGAATTGTGCGAATTTTGGTGTTTAGATTTTCGTGGACAGGGAGGAAATTTAGACCGCACCTGTTTAGGTGAGTTCTTAACACTTTAAAACATTTGCAACTATTTGCTTGGCCACATTTTCCCCCTGTATACAATGCTTGTTTCTATCATGCTTCTTCTACATCGAACCGGGTGCCAACAATTCTAATATATGAACATTAATAACTGTTTTATTCGGCTGGTAGCAGTGAGAAGCAACATTGCAGAAACGCTTTGTATATGAATGATTGTCAGCGCCTCTCTTTGGACATGGTTTAGATTAAGGCAACCCCTTGTATAGACGGGAAATCTGCGCCTAAAAGTTGGGCGAGAATTCTTTATTTAACGCGACTAAGAAATGTGAACTGTGTAAGTTTGGTTTAAAGGGCCGATTGGCTTCAACAGGAGAAAAGGAAAGCGGAATATTTAATTTCTTTAACGGGGGGTTTCGACATTGCTTATCAGTTGCGTTATTTGGGAAGGAGCAAATCTTTGAACAACCCTTAGACACATTGCACGAAAGTTCAATTCCCATTCGAAGATAGTTGGTTTCGATAATTTAGTTAGATAAATTAAACGACTGGTTGGCTGGAAAATCGCATTCAAAAACTTGCCAAGTGTGCGAGTGTTTTGAGAGATTGTTTGGATAGAACGTGCACAGCCAACAAG